CTCCAACTAGCTTAGAAGATGAACACATCAAAGAGACACGGGAGAAGAGGGAAATATAATCTATGTCATACTAAGGGAGGGTCCAGGATAGCTCTTAAGGCCACCCTGGAGCATTATCTCAGCCTGAACCTACAGCAGAGACCTGAGTACGGTCAGCACAGGGTTGAGCTCTTCACCATGAGGTTTGGATGACTACCTGCAGAAAGGGCCATGTCTGCTACGTGTCATTGAAGCGGGTCATGGGGATCGGTCCCTATAAACTCATTCTTTACCTTGAAGTGTAGATGAGCCTGTATCACAGTCTGCACTTAAGAAACTGAGAAGAGACAAAATCTGGGCCGCCGTTTCTCCTGTGCCACCATCCCTGGTCCAGCAGCCTGCCTCAGGCAGGATTCTTTACATTTTAAGAGTGTCTTGACAACATCAAATTAAAAATCATTCACTGAGTTTTCACCACTGTGGAGGCACACAGAGGTTTAAGCAGTGGGCCTGTATCTTTTATAAAAGCTGAACTCACAAAAAAGATCAGTAACGATTACACCTAGCTTCTACTCAAACAGGTAGAAGTCTGTATTCCCTGTCTACAGCTACTAGTAAATATTGTTGCCACCCAGTATCTCAGGTTTAACTCACGCCCAGTCTGCAAGCACATTTGCTTAGCTGAGCTGTGGCTGAAACACCTGAGCTGATCTCCAGTCATTCCTGAGCTAATCAGTACGACCCGCAGTTCAAACCATCCTCAAAGATGGAGCAGGGCACTGATCACAGGCTGGAGTAATGGAGGCACAGGTACAGTTCCCCTCAGTACACACAGCTAAGGGATGGCACCTGTGGCAAAGAGGCAAGGCAGCAAATGGGGACAGTCACCTCTTCATCTGGCACAGCAAGATTTGCCAGAGTTGGTTCAGCAGAGCCCGCAGACTGAATAACAATTAGCTGCTAAGACTGAGGCAGTCTAAAATGCCCACCAGGAGACATCCTAACACACAAAACACCCACTAACAGGAGCGCCACAACCCATCACTACAAAGCTTGAATCCTGTCCTCCCTCCCTTAATACGGACCAATTCACATTTTCTTATATGCCCAACATTGCCAAGGAATACCTGGAGGGAGCACAGGGTAAAGCGTGCAGTTTTAGCTGCCTCTCAGAGGGTCACAGAGATTTCATAAATAAGACGTGATTCGCCCCATCTCGGAGGAGGAGAGATGAAGGATCATTTGAGAAATGCTGCATATTCCTCAACTACACTGGCCAATTCAAGCAATTAAAAATATTTTCCATGGACAGCACTGCAGTGATGTTGAGTCTGTGATCTCTGGACAACTGTTGGTCTGTGGACTACAACCAAAACAACCACAAAAAATAAGGCTTTGAAAGTACATTTACATTTCACATGGAGGGGGTCCAAAAAGCATAAAAGGCTAAAAACCTCCAGTCTAGTGAAGTAGTTCTCTGCCAGTGAGGGAGGGGGAGTCATCAAGGATAATCAAGGTTACAGTGAGGTGTTGAAAAATATAAAATACATAAAATAGAACTTCTCCTCTCACCTCTGCCAATCTTTACCTACACAGATTTTGGGAAAGGGGGTCACTATAATACACTCTATTTTTACTCTTTTATGCAGATGTGTTACACAAAACATTGGATTTTTAACAAATGTTTACCAATCTTAAAAATGAGAGATGAGTTTATTGCAGAGGAGGCAGGCTGCTGTCTCTTCAGCTGGCATAAAGCTATCCTAAAAGCATTCCCAACTCTCATGTCATATAGTCTGGTTTGTAGGCTTGAACTCTCGCATTTCCATCTTAATTGCTTGCACATCACTACAAAATTGCTCCACCACCTTTTTCCTCCCGTTGCAAATAACTGCAGCATGACCTTCAGTTTTTGCTCTGTTGCCAAAAGCTGTTTCTTCAAAAAGTTAGAAAACAAAAAGAATTTACAATAAACTTTTGTATCCTTTTTATTAACATCGTTTGAACAACTATCTAAGCTCATCAAAGATGGCTCATCACTGATGGTCAGGATGTATTAGAGCAGTCCCAAGCTCAGGTCATTAAATAGTTAGCGAGCCTGTTTCAAAAGCCCATCCAAGAAAATAATCTTTCTGCTTTCTTGAAGCGGCTTTGGAAAAGACCCAAACCATTTAAGTCACAAAATATTGAGACACAGTAATAACTATTCATGGTGAATCCTTTGTTATTCATCAGGACATCACCATTAAGGAAAAGATTCCCTCACTTAAAAAGAGAATGAAGTGTTCTTGCTATTCCCCATTATCATCTTTGACTGCATATGAAAAATCATTAAGATGTGTATGCTTTTCCACCAAAATCTTCAGTAAAATCAGATAATATGTGTAAAATACACCAGCAACAAAATAGAATTTAGTATATCTGAGGAATTGAGTGCAGACTTTGTAAAACGAAATAGTTTGATAGTCTGACCTTGATCTGACCAAACAGAGCCCGCTTCCATTCAAAGGGACACACTTCTTTTAAGACAGAAAAGCTAAAAAGAATCAGCTTTAGTTCTTAGGGACAGACTCCTTGTAAAAGTGCACCCGATAAACCAAAATATCTTGCTCGATTACAAAAGGTTTTATTCTTACAGATGCTTAAGATGATGCTCTTCAGTGTTTCAGCAGAGAAAGCAATTTCCCAAGAGTGTTTCTGAGTGAGACTCTCATGTGACATTTTCAGGGCCTGCACTATTCAAGCTGGGGGAAACAAGGGCAACAAAAAGAGCCCACACATGCACAAAGCAGATAAAAGACACAGCTCCAGTAGATAGCAACACTTGGTCTGGTAGCGGTGCCTCCTCCACAGCGCGGAGAGGAGCTCCAGCACTCCTCAGGAGTTGCACAGAAGTCCTTTGTCTGGCCTCTGCTGTGGGAAAAGCTGTTGGGATTGACCCAGCCATTGTTAGCTCCTTTCCAGCCTTACCAGACTTCCCATACCAGGTACTCCTCACACACATCCTCTGGCAGAAGCGCAGCAGTACTTCAAGGAATACTGACACTAAATTTTTTTTTTTTTTTTTTTTTTTTTCAGTATAAGCTCCTACAAACTCAGAATCCCCTTTAAGGAACTCTTGCAGAATAGAGGCTAAGCTGAAGCAACATCTGCAGCTGCTGCTCAGTCAGGCTGACTCCTGGAGCCTGCCCCAACTTCTTGCAAGAAGAACACTTGCAACCTGGCAGCATCTGAGCAGGTTGCCATGCCAGCTTTATACCAGCCCAGCCCTGACACCTACAGGGCTGCTACTCCCACTGGCTTGAGAAAAGATCTCACCCAAGAAGGCTGATGATGCTCAGCTTCTGAGCACCTCAGGTCACCATCTACAAGGAACCAAAGCACCAAATGAGTGAAAACCACCGGCAGGTCAGATCTGTGGCACTTCATGGCTACTCAAAATAAAAAGGTGAAGCCTGTAGGCAACGAAATCATTCAGGTTTGCAATGTCTACATAGCATATGCCACAGTGCTCCTGAAGATCTCTTTCAGACTTTTTTTTTGAGCAAAATCTCACCGTCTGTGAGACAGCTGATAGGATAGGCTGTAAGGTCTTCAGGATTAGATCCCTGGCTAATACACAGTTGCATATTGAGCCTGTGAAATAAATAAATTGCTCAGTGAAATCTTAAGTCAAAAAAGGTGTTTTCTTTCTTTAGCAGAGTCCAGAGCATGATCAGCTTTCCCTTCATTTGCTTGGCCTGCTGCAAGTGCCAATCTCAGGCACACAGCTCAGGTGAGAAAGATGGGTAATAAGATATATTAGAGCAGCACCATGAAGCTGAAATACTCCAAGCAGCTGCCAGGATGTGCTACAAATTCACGTGCTTGAAGCAGTTGCTGAACAAAAAAAAAAAAAAACAAAAAAAACAACACAAAAAAAAAAAAAAAAAAACAACAAAAAAAAAACCAAAGACCTCTCCAACTGAAATCCCCCCCTCCAGCTGGTCTTGTCTAGATAATCTTAAAAGGCAGTTATATGCAAGCTCTGCCGTGAGCTGGCAGAGCACTGCTTGCAGATGCAAACTCGCCCTCTCTTCACTGGGAGGATTGCCAAAGTGAAGAAGGCAGGCCTGAGTTCACAGAGTAGGACATTGTCTCGTCATCAAAACCAGCAGCAGGGCAGGATTAACCTAATTTGTAGCTACCTTGGCTGGACCGGCTGCCCGTTGTTCCTCATACACGCTCTCATGAGCTTAGTTAAATAAACTATGGCAAAACTACACTTGAAAATTACATTTCCTTAACAGTGTTCAGCTATTAGACACTGGAGTGTTGTGGACATTCATCCACAGTGGTTCCTTTCATACAGCTTGTGGGCACCTTGGGCAGTCTGGGGGGAGGAAAAAGGCAGCATAAGTTACAGCTCTTGCTGTTTAAAAGTAAAATTAAGCCAATTTCCAAAACAAATTATCTCATGGTTTATTTCCAGAGGATCTTGCTTTATCTCTCCACACATCCCAACGTCTTGACCCCAAGTCTCTGGAAAGTTAAATCTAGGTTGATGAATGAAGAAAACTAGTTTACCTTTCACTTTAACTTCTAAAAGATAGAAGGCACAAGGATTTGTCACCACCAAGGGTAAAACCTCAGGCTGATCCGTATGTGGATCCCGTTTCAAAAACAAACAATCCACTTGGGACTGGCAGGGAGCCAGACTGCGGGATTGCCTTTTAAGACTTGCATCTCAATAGGAAACCTCTGAGTATTTTGATCTGTTTTCATAACTGTAACAATTTTCATCCCTTGGCTTTGTAGTGTATTATCATTCCCTTCTTTCTAGTAAGTTAAAGAAACAGCCGGTACAAATGAAGGCAAAACAAGCACGGGTCGCTGTGAGTAAAATACGGCATTTCAAAAGATTTAGGAAAGACAAAAACCACTGCCTGTCTTAACTCCTGCCAAGAAACCATTACAGAGGATGGAGGCGCGGTGAAAGCCCCTTGAACGCTGCATTTCAACAGCAGTAACAACCACAGATCTTGGATCTATTGTGTAGCTTTATTTTTATAGGACCTATCATAGACTCTTTTACATAACTTAAATGATTATCAAATAATCTCCTGTACACACTGAGACCGAGCCGCATTGCTTTCCGAGCTTTGACACATTCCTGGAAGAAATCCAACGGTCTGTAGGAATCACATCGCCGCGGTGGCTACAGTACATTTTTGTCCCGAACTTACATCATCAATTAACTTACATATCACTGTTTGTAAGATCCTGCAAGACACTGTTAAATTTCAGGACTTTATGTTTTGGTAGCAGCATTTTTAATTTTGCTTTATTTTAATAATTCCCCCCCCCTCGCCATTTGTGTCCTCAACTGAGCATCCATCAGCGCTTGCAACGCACACCAGCCCGGGAGAAATTTTAAGTGCGCCGCAAGACGTGACGGAGTCTTACTTTTAGACCGAAATCATTTACAAGTCGTCACGGCCGCCTTCAAGAAGAGCAGCCCCCGTCGCAAGGCCGCCCGAGACAGGTACCCCAAGCCACGTCTGCCTATAAAACAAAACCTGACCCCTACGGAAGGCTAAGGAAAAGTAGAAAAACACCTGAAGGAACCCAGTATTTCACATTTTATTTGCAGCGTCTCCCAAACCGCAGGAGGAGGCGACTCGCAGAGCACAAGGGTGAATCCTGCGTGGGTCTGGGTGGGGAGGGGGGAAACACACACACACACACACACACACACACAGCCCACACACACGCGCGGTGGGGCGAGCGGAGCCCCCGGCCCCACGCGTGAGCGGCGGGAGGTCCCCACTCACCCCCCGAGCGTCCGTCAGCTCCCCGCGGGTGGGCTCGCCCGCTCCCCCCACCCCCCCCCCCGTTCCGTCTCATCGTACCGGGGGGGCACTTGGGGGCGAGGGGCCGAGCCCCCCCCCCCCCCTCCCCCCCGCTGCCCTACAGACCGGGGTAGGCGGGGCGGGGGAAGCCGGCGCCGTACTCGTAGGGCCCCTGCGGCGGGGCCAGCGGGCACTCGGGGAAGAAGGGGGCGAAGCCCGGCGGCAAGTGGCCACCGGGTTCCTCGCCGCCGCCGCCGCCGCCGGGGCCCGGCTCCCCGCCGCCGGGGTAAAGCGGGCGCAGCGCCTCGGCCGGCGCCTTCTTGGGGGGGCTGCAGGGCCCGGCCGGGCTCCAGGGCGGCTCGGGGTAGAGCAGCCCGCCCAGCAGAGGGTGGTGGGCGGCGGGCAGCGGCACTTCGTAGAGGCCGTGCTCCAGGCCCAGCTCGGCGGGCAGGCGGGCGGCGGGGAAGGCGTCCGGCGGGGCGGCGTGCTCGGGCAGCAGCCCGCCGTACTCGGGGCCCAGCAGCTCGAAGAACTCGCTCGCCTCCCCGCCGGCCTTCTCCAGCTCCTTGGCGTCCGGCGGCGGCCCGCGGGAGGAGGAGGAGGAGGAGGAGGCGGCGGCGGGCAGCGCCGGCTCCGTGAAGAAGGAGGGCGGCAGGTTGCGGTCCCGCAGCGGCACCTTCCGCGGGCCGCCCGCCGCCCCGCCGCCCCCCGCCGCCCCGCCGCCCCCCGCCGCCTCGCCGCCCGCCGCGCCCCGGCCCGGCTGCAGGGAGCCGAAGAGGGCGGCCAGGCTCTTGCTCTGGAGGCTAATGGCCGCCTGCGAGGCCTCCCGGCGCGGCGGGGGCTTGGCGGGGCAGGCGGCGGGCGGGGAGGAGGAGGAGGCGGCGGGCGGCGGCGGGGCGGGAGGCGGCGGCGGGGCGGCGGCGATGATGCCGGTGCAGCGCTTGATCTGCTTCTGCAGGTACTTCCTGTGGTTCACCTTCCGCTTGGACTTCACCGGCTTGTCCAGCGCCAGCTTGATGTTGCTGGAGGCCGAGTCGATGAAGCTCAGCAGGTCCCGGGTGGCTTCTCGAAAGTCCCCCGCGTCGCCCTCGCCGCCGCCCTCGTAGCCCTTCTCCAGGTCGGCATAGCCCAGGAGGCTGCCGGCGGCGGGGAAGCAGAAGGAGAGGAGGTGGTGGGGGCTGAGCAGCGCGGCTGGCACGGCCATGGCCGGCGGCCGGGCGCCGCCGCCCCGAGCTCCGCAGGGCTGCGCCGGGCGGGCGGCGGCGGCGGCGGCGGGGAAAAGGCGGCGGGCGGGCGAGGAGGAGGGCTCAGGAGCGGGGCCGGCCCCGGCCCTCCCCGCCTCCCCGCCGGGCGCCCGGGGGCCGGGCCCGGCCGGTTGCACCCACCCCTCCCGGCCGGGGACACCGGCAGGGGCGGGGGGGCGGGAGGAGCATCACCCCCGGGGCAGGTACACACACCCCCGGGGCGGGTACACACACCCCCGGGGCGGGTACACACACCATCGGGCCGGGTACACACACCCCCGGGGCAGGTACACACACCCCCGGGGCAGGTACACACACCATCGGGCCGGGTACACACACCCCCGGGGCAGGTACACACACCCCCGGGGCGGGTACACACACCCCCGGGGCGGGTACACACACCCCGGACAGGTACACACACCCCCGGGGCAGGTACACACACCCCCGGGGCGGGTACACACACCCCCGGGGCGGGTACACACACCCCAGGGGCAGGTACACACACCCCAGGGGCGGGTACACACACCCCCGGGGCAGGTACACACACCCCAGGGGCGGGTACACACACCCCAGGCAGGTACACACACTCCCGGGGCGGGTACACACACCCCAGGGGCGGGTACACACACCCCCGGGGCAGGTACACACACCCCCGGGCCGGGTACACACACCCCCGGGGCAGGTACACACACCCCCGGGGCAGGTACACACACCCCAGACAGGTACACACACCCCAGGGGCAGGTACACACACCCCAGGGGCAGGTACACACACCCCAGGGGCGGGTACACACACCCCAGGGGCAGGTACACACACCCCCGGGGCGGGTACAGACACCCCAGGGGCAGGTACACACACCCCCGGGGCAGGTACACACACCCCAGGGGCAGGTACACACACCCCAGGGGCGGGTACACACACCCCAGGGGCAGGTACACACACCCCAGGGGCGGGTACACACACCCCGGACAGGTACACACACCCCAGGGGCAGGTACACACACCCCAGGGGCAAGTATACACACCCCCGGGGCGGGTACACACACCCCAGGGGTGGGTACACACACCCCAGGGGCAGGTACACACACCCCAGGCAGGTACACGCAGCCCCTCAGGACAGGCTGAGAGAACTGGGTTTGTTCATCCTTGAGAAGAGAAGGCTGAGGGGACACCTCATCACCACGTTCCAGTATTGAAAGGGTGGCTACAAAGAAGATGAGACGCCCTTTTTACAAGGAGTCGCATGGAAAAGAGGAGGGGGGACGGATGCAAGTTATTCCTGGGGAGGTTCTGAGTGGACGCGAGGAAAATTTTTCACAATGAGAACAATCAGCCACTGGAACAATGTCTCCAGGGAAGTGGTGGATTCCCCAACACCGAACACTTTTAAGATTCAGCTGGACAGCGTGCTGGGCCATCTTGTCTAGACCGTGCTGCTGCCAAGAAAGGTTGGGCCAGATGACCCTTGAGGTCCCTTCCAACCTGTGACTCTTTGAGGCACACTCCCCTCCAGGACCAGATACACAGACACCCCCCAACCAGATACACGCAGCCGCCCCGGGCCAGGTACACACCACTCCCCATCAGTGTGGTCCTCATCACTAGCACGCAGCCCCCCTGCAGCTGGCACTACATGTGTTCCGAGGCCGGAGCCTGGGTCACCGGCACGGCCCTGGGGGCACGGACATGGCAGCACGCTCCTGCTCTGACGCTCGCCAGATGAGCGAGCCTAAATTAATTTGCAAAGGGGTTTTTTTCCCAGCTCGTTGCTATGCGCATTACCGGGCATCTTGTATTTTCCTAGTCAGGTCAAGTCCTGAGAAAATCCAACACTGTGACCCAGTAGAGCTTTTAAATGACTCGGCTGAATTCAGTTAAAACAAGATTTCTACTTGCAGGGGTTTAGTGAAGCAGCAGTATAAATCTTCCATATGGAAGGTAGTAAAATTAGTGAAGTGGCTACTGAAAGTACTGATAACAGCTCCTGAAGGAATTATCTTGTCTTTTCTTTTGGGGAGGGGTGGGGGTGGGGGGAAAGCATTTAGTTTCCTTTAGAAAAATTTTACATTGATGCAGAACAACCTCAACCATTTGAGCTCCAGATTTATTTTTGGTGACATTAAATGTCCAAATATGAAAAAATATGCATATCTGTTTTTTACTGAAACAAAGTGAATTTTCTTGGTCTGCACTGATTCTTTAGAGGTGCAACAGTTTTGTGTTGGAAAGAAAGAACAGAAAGCAAAACTGCAGAAGAAAAGGGAAACAAGCTCTTAAGACTATACTTACTGGTAAAAAAAAGGAAAAATCAGCCACATGCACCTCACTGTGGTTTCAAACACTTGTTGAATGCAAAGCAAATATTGCAAGGAGAAAAGATAAAAAAGCACATATTTCAAGAGAGGAAAAAAAGGCTAAAAATCCTCTAAAAAATGAAAATACTGATTTTCTTGGTCTCTCAGCAGGTCTCAGCAGAGTCTCAGTGGCAAGCAGAGCCTCCCTCTGGTGCCAGCACATCTGGACCGGGTTTCCTTGCAAAACCTGCTCAGCTGGAGCCACCCGGAGTCTCTTACTTGGGAAGTTGCTCTGAGTGCAACTGTGTAATTGAAGCAAAAAACCCTGGTAGGCAGAGGGCTACGGGAAATCTATATATCTGTCCATATCAGAATGAGTATTTCTACATAGAAGATGGATTTAAACTACTTAGCTTGAGTACAACTGACACGGATTAGCTACCCGAGCTTTTACCCTCAGGTCCTGTCAAGCCCTGTCAACCTTTGCAGCCAAGCTCCCTTCTTGATGAGGAAATGTAAAGAACAACATATACATCCTCTGTGTGCTCCACTAGATAGTTTTGCATCCACTTTGAGGCCCCTTCAAACTGCACAATGGTCTATAAAATACCTGTCTATATCACTAGCTGTCACTGGGTGTGCAGCCAGTTTGGATCCATTTCTTATCTGAGAAACGTGAAACAACCCTGTAATAGAGCAGCAACTAAGTTGTTCTCAAGTTAGCATCTGCTTTAGCATTATAGCAGCAATATTTTATAGCCTGCTTAAAGGGGGTTGTTAATGAGTCTGGGTGGTATTATATGCAGAGTGGCTAAATATCCGGTGGCTTAGAGAAAAAAAGGCTGAAAGCCCTGGCTTCTCTTCTGTAAGGCTGAATTCATTCAGTGAAACAGCTTTGAGAGCTCAGCTACGGTTTAGTGGGAGACTTTATTACCTCCTAAAAATTGGAGAGTATTAAAACAATTGTCAGGCATGCAAAGGAAAGTTTGCATTCAGTTGTGCTAAGCAGTCGAATTTACATATCCTCAACCAGATCTGGAGATTTAGAAAGCCTTCATAATTGCATTAAACATGCTTATTCTCCATGTTCTCTCAAGCAGAGCTGATTACCCCAAGTCGGGCAATGCCTGGAGGGAAATTTGCTAAGACACATGATGTCAACAACTTGCAAAGAAATTTAATTTTTCCAAGGAAATAGCAGTTTTCTTGTTCCTGTGAAACACCTCTTTCCCAATGGCTGTGCAAGCCAACATTTGTCTTTCACCTGTGCTCTTTGAGGATGATGATGCTCAGCCCATGCAGGATGGCTCCCACGCCCCACCAGCGATTCATCTCTGCTCACTGGCAAGGTCTAACGTCCGGGAAGTGCTGGGATTAGGCCCACAAAATAACCCCAACCCCAGGCAAATGTTTAGACCAGATGTCCTGGTCCCTCCACTCTCTCCACATCAGACCAAGGTGAGTGAAGTGGCTGTAGAAGCACTTCCCCCACCCCAAACCTCCATCCCACAGGGTGGTATTCAGTGCTCACTAAGGGGCTCCAGGGGCTCTACTGCTATTTTCTTGCCCACTTTTGTGTAGGAAATTCATCTGGTTTTGTTTATTTTCTTGCTCATTGTAGGTAGCAACATCGCAACCAGCTCTGAGGATTAAACCAAGGCTTTCCAGAACGATGCCCTTGGCATCAAGCTTGTTTTTTTTCAGAGGGAACCGCAGCACAGCCACCCTGTGAATCAAAGGGAGCAGGGACACGCCGTGCTCACTAATGCTTTGCACAGGCCACAAATTGAGCTCATAGCCACGCAATCAAGGCCTTCTCAAGAAGAACAATTTGTTACCCTTACAGACCAAGTGGGCCAGAAAGGAGAGAGTGGCTTACACAGACAAGAAAGCCTTGCACAGCTGAGGGCTGCGTTACGGTGCCAGCACTTTTATGGAGCAGCTCCTCACCAGAGGCGGTCGCAGAAGCTGCATCTGCCCTCCTGATGCTCACGGGACTGCCCGTCTGCGTCCAACACTGGGGTAAAGCCTCTGCAATGCAGGGACAGGATCCCACTAGGATCCAGCCTGAAGGAAACATCTCATGCTGGGCCCCCATCACTAAAAAAGGGTAGATTCAGGCTGATAGAAGGAAGAAATGTTTTGTGATGGGGGTGGTGAAACACTGGCACAGGCTGCCCAGAGAGGTGGCAGATGCCCCATCCCTGGAAACATTCAAGCTCAGGCTGGACAGGGCTCTGAGCAGCCTGATCTAGTTTGAAGATGTCCCTGCTCACTGCAGCAGGGGTTGGACTAGATGATTTTTAAAGCTCCCTACCAACCCAAACTATTTTATGATTCTATGGTCAGTAGCAAAACCTTGCCTTGGGGAAGGCAAACCAAATCCAGCATGGAGCCCAGCCCTCACAATTCACAACACCCATTTTCCTTTCACTGTAGCATCAGGAAGGCAGCGTGAAAGTAAGAAAAACTCTACGACTGGGGAGGGAGGACTTTTTCTTCCCTGCCTGGTTGTATGGCCCATATGGTTGTCGAGTTATGGGAAAATCTGGCTGCCCAAACAGGTGTCACCACTCGCAACCTACAGTCTCATTTCCTGATCGCGTCTTAATCGGCGAGTTGGTTGTGAAAGTTGATTTCTTGCACATTCTTATATCAGTGGGAATTTCTGCCCTTCCCTGACAAGTATTATAGGCAGCCTTTGACATACAGCCCTACAGGACCTAAATAGGCTGCTATTCTTTCCCT